CCTCACTGACCATACACCGGGGGTTAGTTTACGTGGTCACGATCTTACCTCTCACTTGTTTGCCTCCGTTCTCTTGCTTACTTGACTGACCCAGTGAGAGTTCCGAGCGAGGCAGCGATGCCGCGTGTACACGCTGCTATGCGGCGGTTCTGCCACAATGAGCGTCAGTGTTTGCCTTGCAATGTCAATAGAGTACAAAGACTGGCCCGGTATGTGATAATGTTATGCAGAATCTGTGTGCGTGTCGGTATGTATTATCTCCTGTGCGTTTTAATGTAGGTGTGTGTAATTCCCACCATGTCCGAACGTATGTATGTACTTGTGTACGTGTATATATTGTGGGGGACGGTAGGTTAGCAGTTCGCACGCTGCGCTACGAATCCGGCGACCCAAGTTCGAATCCTCGCGCAGGCCAACGGTGACGATTAACTCAACCAGTGCTGGGCCCCCCTCTAGGTTGACTCAGCCGCAAATGAGTAAACATCGCCACTAGGGAGACAAAGGCGGCCGGGGGTGGTGTTGGCCACCCACCCCCTCGTGTGCCGTGCCGGCCTTCGTAGGTGAAACTCGCTAACAGCACTTGCCCCTACAGTCTGTTCAGGCTATACGGGGGATCTTTGTGTTAGCGGGCGTGCGAGTTATTTCCCGAGTGTGTGTAAATCTTATTCCCTGTGTGTGTGTGTCTGTGTGAGGGGAGAGGTAGTCTCACAACAACGAGCGGAGCGCCGGGTGGCTAAAGCACAGCAAGTTGGCAAAGTAAAGGGCACAGGTGGTGCATCAGCCGGTCATCTCAGTCAGTCGATCTGTGGCATCTGGGTCTGTTCTGTGACCTGCCAGCGGGCGTTCGACACTTCACGTGGCCTCAAGGTGCACATAGCCTGGCACCGTCACTTAGTGGCGAATGGCGGTTGTTGTTGCTGGGGAGCGGTAGTGGAGCGGTTAGCGAGCTGCGCTACGAACCCGACAGCCCGAGTTCGACTCCCGCTCACGGCGAACTCCAGTGACAATTATCTCAACAGGCCTCTAGGTCAACTCAGCCTTAAATGAGTACCTGATGCGGTGTGCAAACATCAGGGCGCCCTGATGTGGTGCTAGCCACCCACCCACCCCCTTGTATGCCATGCCAGCCTTAATCGGTACTCACTGAAAGCGTTGGCCCCTGTTAAAGGATATATGTGGGAATATTTTGTTTGTATCCTTGTGTGTTTACGTATTGGTATATATATGTGTGTGCGTGCATTATTCCCTGCACGTATATATATTATTCCCTGTGTACGAGTTATTCCTGTGCGTGTTATTCCACGTGTGTGTTCTTTGGCTGTTGCTCCCTGTGCTCGAGTCCGTGTATATATTCTATATCCCCAGTGTGTTTATTTTTGTGGGGGCAGTTTGGGCCAAACGATTACAACAACGAAGAGTTTGAAATTCACAACCGTGGACAAAGCGTCGGTGGCAATGATGGAAAATAGGCAGGCCAGGGCCTCGTCTTTGTCAACTCAACGCTAATGGAGTATCTGCTGGCACGGAGTGTAAACATCGTGACTGCTGTAACAAAAGTGATCGGCTCTGTTCTGGCCACACGATAACCTCCCGTGTGCAGGGTGCTGGCCTACATCGCTGCTCCAATGGCTTCACCCCACCCCCGCCCCCACAGCCTGTATGTTACGTGGAGTATCTCTGTGTGTGTGTGCCGGCCTTAATAGGTGCTCGCTAACAGCACCTGCCCCAACAGCCTGTTAAGGCTAAACGGGGATCTTTGTTCGTTTATGTGTCCTATGAATGGTAGTATTGCGATGAGCGTGCTGCACGATGAACCCAGCGGCCTGAGTTCGATTCACGCTCATGGCCAACACCGGTGACGATTATCTGAACCGATTATGGGCCTCCCCTAGGTCCACTCAGCCTCAAAATGAGTACTTGGTGCAGTGTGTAAAAACCGCCATGAGGGAGACAAAGGCGGCCGGGTGTGGTGCCGGCCATCCAATACCCTTGTGTGCCATGCCAGCCTTCATAGGTACTCGCTAACAGCACTTGCCCCGACTGGCTATTAAAGGCTATATGAGGTCTATTTGTCTTTGTAAATAGGACACACCTGTTTGGCGCTGAACTGCCGTCAACAGTTTTTGTTCCAATGAGATTTAAAACCCGCGAAGGCAGGTATATGTGTGTGTATGTGTGCGTGCACGCGCACGTGTATTTTTCCAATACAAAATGCCACCCAAACAGATCCCGATACCTGTCAATAACCGAGCCGTGTTTAGAATTAAGTGTGCGTTCGTTGAAGAACTCTTGTATGTGTGCGTAACTTGTCGTCTGTGCAGGGTTTTATTGATTTATTTTCAATGGGTGAACGCTGGTGTGTAAATCATCTGAATGTGGCACGCGAGGAATGGGCGTCTGTAAGCCAACACTGCTGCAACCAACTCCATTTGCGCAAATCCCACGTCTAATCTATCGATAGTTCTCAGCGAGCTTACGTGCTGCGCGCGCCAGTGCGTGTTCGTGTATTGCTTGCGACAGCGTCTTCATGCCGAAGGCAGCGTATGTCATGAATGGCTTAATGTGCGTAGTGTATTGTTTCTGTGTGCGCGTGTGGCTAAGACACAGCAGGTTGGCGCAGTAGAGGGCACAGGTGGTGCAACGGGCCAGTCATCTCAGTCAGTCGACCCGTGGCACCTGGGACTGTTCTGTGACCTCCTGCCAGCGGGCGTTCGACACTTCACGTGGCCTTAAAGTGCACGTAGCCTGGCACAAGCGCCGTGGTGACGTCACCGCCACACAGTGGCTAATGGAGGTTGTTGTTGTGAGAGAGAGGTGGTGCAGGACGTAATAAGGCTTTATCAACTGCACTCGCCCCAACAGTCTACGCAGGCTACTCGGGGGATCTTTGTTGTTGCAATGGTTTGAACGCTGCGTTATAATCCCAGCCACATCGATTTGATTTCTGACCATACACATCGATCCATCGCACGTGGCACCTGAAACTGTCCTGGATCTCTCCTATGTCGACTCGGCCTCCTTAGCTTATTACCTTGCTGCAGTATGCAAGCATCAGCACTGCGGGAGACGAAGGCTGTGATGCTAGCAGCTTATAAGACACTTCTTTGTGTGACGTGCCAGCCTTAATAGGTGTTCGCTAACGATGCTTGTCGCGACGTCGTACGAGGCTAAATGGCCACATCACCCAGAATTCACCCGTCGGATCTCACAAGCTAAGCATGGTGGAGCCTGGGAATTGCCTTAATGGGTGACATGGCAATGCGATTGGCGTGCCGTGCATGTTGTGAGCAGCAGGCTTTGGGGCTACTTTGTGAGCAGCAGAGAGCAACAAATTCCGTTATTGAAATCTTTGTGAGTTTCCACGGCTCGACGTGAGAAATGGTCTTAGAAGCGACTCTTGCGGGATAGGATCAGCGCTCGCAACGGGTATCCCGAAAGAGTAGCTTTTAAGAGCATTTCTTGTACGGTACTTATATGGCCCCATGTCTGTGCTCTTCACCATCATCAACTTGTGCTGAGCAGCGTGGTGAACGAATCCTCCATGACCCACACCATGTGGGGAGTCCCTCCTCCAGCAGTGGGATTACTAGAGGGTGAACAAAAATAGGATTATTTTACGATGGAGTAATAACCTTAAGAGCTCCGATCATCAGGTAAGAAAAGATGAAACGTGGCCGTCGCCACCTCTACAGAGAAGATACGTATGAACACAGGATGTCGTTGAAGATAACTGTCTGTACAGGGACGCGCGTGCGTGCGCGTGTGTGTGCGTGTGTAATTGTACATCTGCATCATGCCATTCCACCAAACGTGCAGCTGTTTTTAGAAGCCCCACAAAATAAATGAGCTTTAGTAATCCTGCCGTGATTGAATGCCAGTGAACCGAGCTTTAGGTTCGGCGGGCCGGGGCATAAATCCATCGCCTTAGCTCATGCTCAGCCCTATCTGTATCAGTAAATACTGAAGACTGCCACTTCAAACCGGCGTTGTTCTGCCCGCTATTCAATCTGCCACGATGGACACAGTGCAGGCTTTAAGCCGACGATTAACGGCCTCGACTGCCAGTCTAACCCGTTGGGGAACGTTGCACAGGGTTGGCCCTTAATCTCTCACCAACGGTCGCAATTTGAGCTAATTGGAGCAATTCGTTTCAAGTAAACTTTCTTTTTTGGGGAATGTGGTGGGTTTTTTTTCTCTTGTTACAACTTGAACGAGAAGCGAGTTGTCTTTTGTTCTCTGCCGTCGTGAAAGTGTGCAGAAGTGCATTTGTCATTTATCTCTGTGGAAATAATTGCAGAGTGCGGTGTGTTGCCAGAACAATATCCGCCACCTTGGCTTCAATTCAGCAGGGCCACACTCTCACCTTGATTGAAACCTACAGCAGGCACCCGATGCTGCCATGTAAGACAGTGTCCATCGTGAACGTCTATCTGCGGCGAATGAAGGCCTCCCACACTCCATTGCAATCTCTCATGATCTTGCAATGCAACGATTCATCCTGGCTACTGCACCCTGGTTGAATTCGTCGTTACATCTCCGTGGTGGACCCTCCTCTGAGCTGTGTCCGCCCCCCCCCCTCCTTCAGCTTCCATTGTTTTTAGTCGAAGTCATTGCCCATCATCCCTTCTAGCGACGAGTGCTGCCCAAGCCCAGTTACTCTCCTTAACAGGCTACGTGGTGTCGCAAAACTTGATTTGTTCTCTTTGATTCCTGTCGTTCCTCTTCCAGACTCTCAGTGGGATTAAAAGCGTGCCCTCACCGTTCCTCTTCGACATGCGCCTTCTTCCGCCGTTTGTTCAGTTTTCTCCGTCTTTTTCCACGCTTCACATCCATGTACCATAGCCAGGGGGCAGGTGGCATGGAGACTGGGGGATTAATCATCACCGTATATCATTATTGATTTCCTTGCAGTTGGCTGTATGGTAATTGGTATGACATGTGACCTGCTTTTATTCAATGTGTGTGACCCCCCCCCCCTGCTGCTGAATGAATATGTGCAGATCACAGGGAAACTCCAGGAAGCTCTTTTGGCCTTCGATTCCTGCGAGTGAGAGCCTCGGACGGCATATGACAGACAGCAGCAAGAAAATACCGTCAAAACTCACGCGGGCATCAGCAACGAGAATTGATCATTCTGGGCCCACACACCTCCCGGGCACTGAGACTCACATCGTCAGCGCCCTGGAAACCGTCACGTGCCGAGCCGGCCTCTGTCTCTTCCGGGTTTTTAATTTGCTTTATTTAAATCGTTTTTTTTGTCGTTGTTGAGCAAATGTTTTGGTCTTTTTGTTTCGTTTTGTACACGGGGCGTAAATCGGGAACAGAATCTTCGACGTGAAAAAGCACACATTTTAGTCACGTCCGGGTGCTGAAATTACAGGGTGCGAACGAAGAGGAGGGAATGATAATTTGATGCTCATTGGCGTTCAATTAAGATGCAACAAAAGGGAGTTCATATGAGGCGCTTTCTTGTTTCTATTTGGCTCTCGTGTGCTCGTTGTGGGGGAATCGGAGGTGTGCATAGTTTGCTGAACTCAACATTGGGTGATTTGACCACAGCCGTTGGTGGTGGGTGCCTAAGGAAGACCCACCCCCCTCTTCCACCCTCATGCACGTGGCAGTGACCTCTGCACTTTCTGAGAATCTGTAAATAGCCATGCCCTTGGTCGTGTGTGCGTGAGGCAAGGCCGGCGCATGAGACGCCCCCATTAGAAACGATGGAAGTAATTTGCATTCACGTTTGCAGCCCTTCCACAAGCCACGACCTGCAAACACCGCTGTGTCATGTGACCAGGGTGTCTTGATCATTGACAGAGTTTTATGAGAGATCTGCTGAAGCACCGGACTGGCCACAAAAGTCTGCAGGTTAACCCATCTCCTGCAAGGAAACCGCCTGGGGCTAACGATGACTATGTTATGGGGCAACTGCATAGGTTTTCCTGGTTTGTGATGTACAGCTGTCCGATGTGTTTTCGGGGGTTGTAATGCACGCGTCGTTCAGCACGATGTCGGACGCTTTGTTCCGCCTGCTGGAAGCTTTATTATACATTTTAATCACATTTCCTCCACGTGCTGGGAGCCTCTTCTGGAATTTGTTTTAGAAGCTCCCTCCCCGCCCCGCACGTGGAGTAAACAAAGCGGCGCAACCCGAGATGTCGTAGGTGCGTGAACGGGTGCTGACATTGCATTCGTCGCGCAAGAATGTTAATATGCACGTTAACCAACGTTGCACTCACCTGCGCTGGTGTTTCTGTCTTTTATTGAATAATTGAATGTGCAACCGGGGCCTTATGAGGAGGCTCCGCTGTCGCTTTTTGCAGGCCGCAGTCAATTAAATTCACGGTCCCTCAAACACGGAGTGCAAATGTTCGCGTGAAATGAGAATCGCGTGAGCTTTTGCGATATCTGCCTGTTCGGGTGTTAAACAATATGGCAATTATCATTGCATTTTTACATGGGAGCAACTCTGCAGGGTTTACAGTGCCGGAGGTGGCCGGGTGTCACAGGGGGCAGGGCACCTGCCATGAGCACGGTTGGCTATGTGCGGTGCGAAAGAAGTTCAACATACATGCGTACAACACTGACCCTTGAGCCACGTGCAGCCACCTATGGTGAAACTGGATTTCAAGTGAAGAGAGTTGATGGTCTCGGCCTAGTCACCAATGTGTGCATGACCCCCCCCCACTCTACCACGTAAACATTTGGTTTTCCCTTAATTTGCTTAAATTCCAGCTCTGAGACCTGAAATGTCGTGCGGCAACCCCTCTTTGCAGGGCATACGTTAAACTCTAAAACTATGTTTTATTTTAACAGGTAAGGCACTGAGCTGTATAGCTCATTTTCATGAGCGACTTGGCCACAAATGATAGCTCAACAAAGTGTCCCATGGTGTGGAAATTTACAGCAGCCAAATGCTCTAAAACGCGTGTTAATTCTAAAATGCGGAGACAAAAACAGGAGAAAAATCCACGCGACCACAGGGAGAGAGACACGCAAACTCCAAATTTACAGCAGGCGTTGGGATCTAACCCATGACCTCCTGTATACCAGGCGAGGGAGTTAACATCTCACCACGGAGAGAGACGCAAACTCCAAATATACAGCAGGCGTCAGGGTTGGGATTAAACCCACGACCTCCTGTATACCAGGCGAGGTAGTTAACACACCTCGGAGAGAGACGCAAACTCCAAATATACAGCAGGCGTCAGGGTTGGGATCAAACCCACGACCTCCTGTATACCAGGCGAGGTAGTTAACATCTCGCCACTGCGGTGCCCCTATAAAAGTTGTGTCTCTAGAACGGGCGAAGTAGGCGACCTCCAGGAGTAGTTCTGTGGGCCATGCTTTGACACAGGGTGATTCACTGCTAGCTGAATCTTGTTATTCGTCTCGATGGAAATGTCTTGTCTCGTGACAGGTCACTGATAACACAATTGGAATATAATTTTGAAAAAATACGAGCAATGTTAAGAGCACTCATCTGTATAGCTGTATACACTACACACATACACATTTACAATTGTTGGCAATACTGTGTACTTTTACATTTAATTTGAAAAGCTTGTGAATGCAATCTTACACGTTCCCCCTTTTTGCGTCTGTTGAGTTGTGTTTCTTGTGTCAATGTAATTGTTTATTTCACAACAACAACAATTTATCTTTCTGCATAAATAAAGGCCTTAATCTGTATGTACGTCTCAGAAACCTCTAAGGTACTTCCAGACAAGGTACAAAGCTGAAATTTGGTACATAAGTAGCTTTTAGGACACAACAGGGAAAATCTGAAAACCCTATATTTTGTATTTTAAGGCTGCCAAATCTCGATTTAAAAGTTCCCCATAAACATGTCTGTGCGTGTCATTCAGAAACCGTTTAAAATATGAGATTGCGGGGTTTTTTTTTTAAATAGAGCCTTAAACATAAATTAAAATTAGAGCAGAACAATTGTTCCATCTTTTATTGTTTTTGAGATATTTCGGATTAAAGCGGTTTTGAAGGAAAAAGATACGCATTGTATGATGTTCAAATCTGAATAATTCGGAAACAGTAAAAGATAGGAGCTTCCCCTCGTAGAGTATTAAGTTAATTAATTTTTGTTATTTGCAATAAAAACAGAACGGCATCTTTAATTTTAGTTGTTTCCAGTGGGTACTTATTTAAATATAAGAAGTTGAAACAAGTCTTCAACATTTTATTTCCTGAAAAAAACCACATTTTTGGAGTAGTTAGTGTCTGATAATTGTTTTTTTTATCCTTTTCTCTGGTAACAAAACTGACACCTTTTTTTTACAAGGAGTCATGTTTTCATTGACCACAATACCTGCGGTTGGAATGCAAACAAAAAACATAACTCTGATAATGTATGCACTGACTTTGAAATTGATTGGTCCACACCCGAGACAGCTTTCCTTAGAGCCTAGTCTCACATGGTGTTGGACCAGATGACGCCAAAAGGTGTCAATTTTGTTGCCAGATAAAAGGGTAAAAAAAACAATTATCGTATTTTGCTACTGGCAAAGGAGGTTCCAATGGGGTAGTTAGTGTCTGATTGTAGATACAAATGGGATAAAAAAACATAGGTTAATTATATGTATGGAAAACTTTTTGCCTGGCGAAGACAGGCTTTATGAACTAGTAATGGTATTAATTTACAATCCTTTCTCAATCCGCTTCTGTATGATGGCCTTTGGAATGCTTCGTCAAGTTACGGATTCTGTTGGACAACACGTCACCACGTTGGTCAATCCGAGTGGGCGAAACGGGGGTGGGGGCATGGGACCCAGGGCCGGTGGAGATATCAAATTCCAGTGATGTTAGCTGTGAATGGGAATCGAACTCAGGTTGCAGGGCTCAAAGCCCAGTGGACGAACCGCTGCTTCACTAGTACCTTTATTTACGTACGTGCACCGTAATTCTGTAACAGTAGATGAAGAGCTGGCAATGAATTAAAAGGCAGATGAATGAATGGCAATGCAGCAGGAATGTTTCAAGGCATTAACGTAATTGGGTTTTCTAACCGTTTCACCCCCCTTTTTAATTTCCTCCTAAACTCTTGCGCGCGAAGGCATGCAGCCACACGACCTTCATACCATCCACCCACCCATACAGCCACCCACTCATACACCCATACAGCCACCCACCCATAGAGCCACACACACTCCATACCATTCACCCACCCATACAGCCTCCTACTCATACACCCACACACGCGTATTCAGACAAGAGCACACACACCTATTCACACACACACATAGCCACCCACTCACATGGATCCACTCACATGGCACACACATGCACAACACACTCATGCTACTACCCACACACAACAACAACCGCCATTCGCCACTAAGTGGCGGTGACGTCACCACGACGCTTGTGCCAGGCCATGTGCACCTTGAGGCCACGTGAAGGGTCGAACGCCCGCTGGCAGGAGGTCACGGGGCAGACGCAGGTGCCACGGGTTGACTGACTGAGATGACTGGCTGATGCACCACCTGTGCCCCCTACTGTGCCAACCTGCTGTGCTTTAGCCACCCGGCGCTCCACTCGTTGTTGTGAGTGTCGCTCCTCCGCCCTCCGTTGTTGTTGGAGGGCGACTGCCTCCAACTTCCCAGTAGCGTCCTTCACGAGCCTCCTCCACAGAGGCCGATCCTGACACCGCTGGTACCAGTCATTGGCAAGTCCACTCAGCTCCACGTCCTCCTGTACCACATCACTCCATCTCTTCTCTAGTCCGTGCCGCGCCCGTTTAGCCCCCTCGATCCGGCCGAACAAAAGCTGTTTCGGCATGCGGTGGCTGGGCATGCGGGCTACATGACCCAGCCAACGCAGCCTTGCCTGCCGGAGGAGCTCACCGATGGGACCGTGCCCAGATCTTTCAGGGATTTGTGAGCTCCTCACACAATCCAGCCTGATTAAACCCAGGATGGATCGTAGGCAGGCCAGCCTAAATGTTTCTAACCGGCGAAGATGTTCCATTAGGGGGGTCCACGTTTCGCAAGCGTAGATAAGGGAGGGAATGACCTTGGCCGAGAAGACCTGAAACTTAGTCCGGAGCGACAGACCAGGTAGCTTCCACACAGCGTTATGCAACCGATGAAAAGATATTGCCGCTCGACTGATTCGGAGTGAGACCTCTGCTATTAAACTGGAGCCGGTCATAAGCACACACCCTACTACACGTACATACACAGTACCTACACCACACCCACCTCCACACAACCTCCCTCCCTCCCACGGACACGCCCACCTACACACACAGTACCTACACCCCCACCCACCTACACACAACCTCCCTCCCTCCCACGCACACACCCACCTACACACACAGTACATACCTACACACACACCCACCTACATACAACCTCCCTCCCTCCCACGCACACACCCACCTACACACACAGTACATACCTACACACACACACCTACACACACAGTACATACCTACACCCCCACCCACCTACACACAACCTCCCTCCCTCCCTCCCACGCACACACCCACCTACACACAGTACATACCTACACCCCCACCCACCTACACACAACCTCCCTCCCACGCACACACCCACCTACACACACAGTACATACCTACACACACACACCTACACACAGTACATACCTACACACACACCCACCTACACACAACCTCCCTCCCTCCCACGCACACACCCACCTACACACACAGTACATACCTACACACACACCCACCTACACACAACCTCCCTCCCTCCCACGCACACACCCACCTACACACACAGTACATACCTACACCCCCACCGACCTACACACAACCTCCCTCCCTCCCACGCACACACCCACCTACACACACAGTACATACCTACACCCCCACCCACCTACACACAACCTCCCTCCCACGCACACACCCACCTACACACACAGTACATACCTACACACACTGACCTACACACACAGTACATACCTACACACACACCCACCGACACACAACCTTCCTCCCACGCACACACCCACCTACACACACAGTACATACCTACACACACACACCTACACACAACCTCCCTCCCACACACACACCCACCTACACACACAGTACATACCTACACACACACCCACCTACACACAACCTCCCTCCCTCCCTCCCACCCACACACCCACCTACACACAACCGATACACCCCCTCCTCCACACGCTCGTGAACACACCCACCCACCTACACACACATGCAGACGCAGTACCTACACCCCATCCACACAACCACACGAACACACACCCACACACACAACCCCACCCACACACCGCGACTGGGGAACGCAGCAATGTGACAGCTGTCACTGAGCGAATTTGGAGTTGTGTCGAGTTGTGTACAAAGAAGAAGAACACCACCGGCATAGTCCGCTTACTTAATTAATTTAATTAGTGTCATTAAGCAGGTTACTTCGGGTCACTGAGTGCCATTGGTGGACGGGGCAGGCCACGTGTGGTTTAAATGGACAGGGAGGGTCCCCCAGGTGTGCTCATCCCATCCCATCATCGCCTGCAGCACTGCGGCCCTCAGACCGAAACTCGCTCCCTCCCAAGGCTCCGCGTGAGTTTCGCGTCGCTCCCACCTTGTCGTGTCCACGTCTGTGCTTCGTGTGTGCGTTGTTGTTGTTCCCACTGCCGTGTGTGTCTCTGTGCGTGTGTGTGTGTCTCTGTGCTTCCGCGTCTGCGCGTGCGCGTGTCGGAGAGCGGTTCGTGTCGGTGGTTCAGTGCGCGCTGCGCTACGAACCCGGCCGCCCGAGTTCGATTCCCGCTCACGGCCAACACCGGTGACGATTATCTGAACCGGTCCTGGGCCTCCCCTAGGCCGAATCAGCCTCAAATGAGTACCTGGTGCGGTGTGTAAACATCGCCACTAGGGAGACAAAGGCGGCCGGGCGTGGTGCTGGCCACCCACCCCCTGGTGTGCCAACAGCACTTGCCCCCGAAAGTCTGTTGGGACTACACGGGGGATCTTTGTCTCTTTGTATGTGCGTCTTCTCTATATGTGTGTGTGTGTTCTGCGTAGTGCTGGCCAACCCATCCCTTCGTGCGCCACGTTGGCCTTCATCGGCGAGGCTATA